CATATTATGCTAGTGCCATAGCTTTTTGATAACTACTGTACAACTATTTTTTCTTAATAACTAAAGCTGTATTTTTTGGAATGTATTTCTTCACATGCTCTGTAGTGTGTATATAGTTTAATATATGTTTTTATGAATAAACATAATTCACCACAGTACAATCGTATTAATCTTTGTAACACTTACTGTATAATCTCAGTATGAAAAGCTCTAGGATTAAGTATCACACATCATAATACATATATCTCCACATCTGGAGATGATAATAATTGTCATATTAATGAATGGCAGATATGGAATTCATAAATCATCTGCAATTAATCGTTAGAAAATGTGCATTTCCACTTTATCAGGGTTAGAAGCACCGATATGCCATTGACCCCTTTTGCATAATTATTTTTCTTCTCTTCTTCAAACACACATATACTTCCATAATTCACACTGCTCACAAGTGCCATCGTATGCAATGTTCTGGGCAAAAAAGATCCTGTTGTAAAGAGATACTGTACTGGTAATAGCCACCATTATAATTACAATCTCCCTTACATGATAAATACCGTGGTTAATTGTGTTACTCTTCTTGTCATGTGATTAACAAAATGGTCCTGCTATGCACATTGTCTATGTTCAGCTCAGCCAAAGCAACAATTTGTTAATAATAATAAAATAATAATAATTATTGCTTTAGTTTTATAAAGAGAAGGAGAGGCTCTTCATCTAAAACTGGAATACAGCAGTCACATGGGTGTCACACAGCATACACCCAATCTGGCAGGAAGTGAGAAGTCACTTCACATTTCTTCAGTAAGGTACTGTAGGTCAAATCATGCAGGGCTCAAGTAGAATTCAGCCAGGACACTGAGGTTAATATTCTTACTTTTGTCAAAAGTGGAATTTTAATGTGTATGTAATGCCCACAAAAGCTTTTGTTTTAATTAAACAAGAAGAAAAGGACAAGGTAACACCATAGTTGAATAATGGAAATGGATTGCTGTTAGCATGACAGAAGGTTGCCTGTCTGGGAGCTGTTGCTTGTATTGAGATATGCTTGGCTTCCACAAAACAAACTTGAACAAACTTGTACAGAGCAACCAATAAATAAGTTTGGTTTAAGATCCTGCTCCAAGAATGCAGATACTACCTACCTAAGGTCATCTTCAACTTCATCTTCAGAATATATATATATATTTACCTGAGAGACAAAAACACCTTAAAATACAGGAAGAAATAAACAGAACATCATGAGAATGACTGTCATTCAATCTGCACAAAACACTGAAATATTTGGATGCCCAGAGACTATTCAGGGAAAACATTTTCATAGTCAAAATGTCAAACATCTGGGAAACAGATAGCATCTGAGGTGCCAACAAAATGACCAGTAGAGAGTTTTATTTACTTATATCTTTTTGGCCTTGAGAGACCTAATGAAAAAAAAAATGTCTTGAATACATTGCAGCAGACAAATGATCACAATCATTCTTCTTTATCATAACTTCTCAAAGAAGTTAATGTACATATTATATCGGTCCACATACTGTATTAGCACATACTTTGTGGTCTGAATAATTCAAATATTCTGAGTCAGAGCCCCATTCATGTTCCTGCTTGGTAGCACAGCAATGATGTGCTTCAGCTAGAAGTTGGAGATCTCCAGCTTTGTTTTGCAGGTTTGTTCATTGCAAGTGAGCAAGCAGGTGGGGTGATCCCAATATACAGTAGTACTGTACTAGTTAGTACTCAACTTGGTATCCACCTCCTTACTTAATCTGCAAGGTCAGTGCAATTGACCCATAAAGTTTCAAACTTCGAAATAGAAGGAAATCTTGTTCCAATCAAGAAACCTGTTACTTCAATTAGGTTTTAATTAAGTAATTAAGCTTGATGGGTATAGAACCCAGGTGGTGGAGGTATGGGCCTCCACAAGCTGGACAGGGAACCCCAGTGTTACACTGTACATTTTCATTATTTCTTACATATTCTTGTTTTCGAACTCTATTTAGTGTTTGGGATGAAAAAAACATTTTGTCTAGTGTCTACAACACTTTTCTCTTTATAGTTAGGCACCCATTTTTGATGTTTTTGTTTTTTGAAGCTCTTCACATTATACAATATTTGTTTACAGCTTTTTTTTACCTGTATTAGTGACAGAAGCGTTGTGGAATTGAAATATGCTGCAAAAGCAAACTGGGTTGAGGTTAGCCCTGGACGTCTGAATACTCAGTCTGACTTCTTCTTTAATTATTTCCTCTCCCTGTCTCTGCCCTTTTCATTTATATAACTTCTTCTTTCACAGACATAAATTCTGTGATTTTTTTATGTGCAACGGTAGTATTCACTGTGGCAGATCACAGACTTGATGAATTTACACTCCCGCCCTGTGCCTACAGAACATACAGTAAAAGTACATTTTTAACACAATAATTACCCTAAATTTACAGTACAGTCAGATTAAAAATAAACCACTTAAATTCAGACAGAAAAGCAACAGTAAAATTGGAACACTGGTTTCACTATCCTCTGCCCTCACAATTCACTGCAATGTTGTGTCACAAGACTGATGGTGGAGTAACTGTACCTCAACATGTGTGACAAGAGAGCATCACAACATATTCTTAGAAAGGTAGTGATATCTAACAAGGTCTATATATTGAGAAGACTTTGTTTAATATAACGTTTAAAATGTTGGACATTGTGATACTCAAATATATTGCAGCAATGGAGAAGGCAAACCAGATACATTCTTATGCTTTAAGGAATGTCCTACTCTGTCGGGTTAAAAGAACTGATTATACCATCCATCCATTCTCTAACCACTTCTTCCAATTCAGGGTCACGGGGGAGCCAGAGCTTGTCCCAGCAAGCACTGGGCACAAGGCAGGGTACACCCTGGATGGAACACCAGTTCATCACTTAGCAGACAGACACAAATACTGACATGCACACACAGACACCAGGGCATATTCTTCCCCATGGACTTACCCCTATATCTTTGAACAGCGATCGTCTGAGTCTGGCCGGCACTGGGTACACTGCAGCCAGGTATACCAAAGATGGCAGGATGTCTGCTTTCAACACCATCACTTTCCCCATCAGGGACAGCGACTGTGTTTTCCACAGACCCGGCTTCGTGTTCACCTTACCAATCCTCTCAGTGCAGTTGATAGTCTCATTATCGTGGCTCTGGAACGAAACCCCCAATATTTTGAGGGGCTTCGTGCAGAACTCAGGACCTTCTGGCACTGTCGGCCTGTCCTTACAGAGTCCGGAGAACTTGAGTTTGCTCTTTCTGCAGTTCAGTTTTGATACCGAGGTCCTGGAGTATTGCTCCATGACCTGCAGGGCCCTCTTCAACTCCCTGTCTGAGTTCAGAAACATTGTTGTGTTGTCTGCATACTGGGAGATCTTGAGGATCTAAAAGAAACTGGAGCATCTGGAGGATGCCCTCGTGAACACAAAGAAGAACATAGAAACTCCAGGCAGGAACTGATCATTTTTAGTCTTAAACAGAGAAGACTATGAGGAGACCTTATTGACATATTCAGACTCCACAAAGGCACTGACAAAGTCAACCTATGCTTCTTCATCATTAATTGTAAAACAAAAACCAGAAGTCACAAATTGAATTTTGTGGAAGTTTTAAAGCAAAGAATAGAAGGCCTTTTTTTCAAAAAGGTTGTGAGGGAATAAAACAAGCTACATAACCATGTTATTGAAGCTGACACCCTGACTTCTTTCATTTAAAGGCAAAGAGAGATTACTGTATCACTTAGTTGCTAGCAACCAAATGAGCTGGCAGGGCCTAATGGTCTTTTCTTGATATGATATGATACACTAAACTTTAGTACTCCCCAAGGGGTAAATTAAGTTGCTAACACAATTCATAAAGATAAAGTATAGTAAAATATAATAGAAACACTGCATAGACATGACAGTTGTACAAAAAACAGACATATAATGCAGTACAACTAATCACATCATGCATCATACATTGGCACTCTCCCTCTTAATAAACCTATTACATTGCATAGTTTTTCTTCTGCATGTTACTCCCCCCAACACATACAGTAGATGCATAAAAGACCACCCTTAGACCACACATTAAAAGATTTAATGGAAAAGAGCCTTGAAAGGCCCTTCTTACACTCCAAATCCAAATTTGTGCCCCATTCCAGGTTCTTACCCAGATGTACAACAAGGAACAAGGAACTTTGCATGTTAATGGAAATAGCATGAAGTTTTTTTCCTTCTAAAGAACACTACAGGTTTAGATGTTAAATTGTAAACAGTTGTCCCTACCATGATTATCAGGTATTTACTAGTGTGTTTGTCTTCTTCCTTCAATTATATCAGAAGCTTTCATTTCTACCAGTAAAACAGTATTTCTTGACTTCGTCTCATACTCTGCCCAAATATTAGTTTATAAAAATTTCCTTAAAAATCTGGAAAATCCCGTTTTAAATATGCAATATGCTCATTGGCTGTTAAATGGAAAGAATTAAGTACCAGAGTACAAAGCACATAAAATTTCACGAAGATTTCGTGCATGAAAGTAGTCACGTAGCTAAAGAATGTTGCTGTGTGTGACCAATCAGTGAGTTCCAGTATTGTCAAAAAAGGAAACAAACAAAATGTGTCTCACGACTGTGTATTTAGCACGGACAGCTTACGGGTGTCATGCTAGGTACTTTCCATTTGCGTGCTTCTGCGAGGTGGCAGAGCCGTAATGAGATTGTAAAGCCCACGTCTTTAGCTATTCTCTGTTTCACAAGAAACCAAATCAAAACGACCTTCAGTGATACTAGTACACACGGTAGAAATACCACACAAAACACTGTTTTCTGTCTCTTAGCTGAAGGTTTAACTGCGTGCAGTCTTGTCCTAGGCGCCCGACTGACCGCAGCGAAACTTCAAACAGAAACCACGCCTTGTTCGCATCTTATTGGTTATATCGCCGTTGTCATTTGAATAAATTAAATATTTAAAGATGTGATTGGGGGACTAACATTTCAATCACAAAGCGGGTTTCTACTCCGTGTAAAGTGAATGTGCGGCTGAATTGACCGGGTAATGTGTGCAACACCAAGGAGTGTATGCAATAGCGGAGCGGGGGATCTGGCTAATTATTTACGTTTGAAATTAAGGAAAAAGAGAACAAAACGAGTCAAAGGATTTAATTGAACACTGCTCAAGACATGCGTCCTGCACGGAAATGGTGGACTATTTGCACGATAAGCATCCTATTGATTTTCTATAAGACAAAAGAAATAGCAAGAACTGAGGAACACCAGGAAACACAACTCATCGGGTAATGTTACGTTCTTTTATGGAAATAAAAATTGAACATACTGTACGGATGCACTTATTTTTTAATATTTTTACATACGCTTTTTCTAGTTCACCTAAAGGATGAGCTTTTTAATAGAAAGCTAGAGGAAGAAATATGTTTTCCTGTGAAATATGTTTTGAATAGGAGCTTTATCTACCCTTTCAGAACTATGTATTGAGTGGTAACACAAACGAGATGACTTAAATGTTTTTTCTCCATTTTGAGGTACTGTCTATTGTCTAAGGAAATCGCAATTTGGAGGACGCTTATATTATCCTTTGTTTGCTGTGTATTAGCATTACAATTGATACACTGATGGTTAGTCGTCTTCAGTGTAGGAGTGTTAACAGCCCGTACATTTTATCGAGGTATTGATTTCTGAATTGTTTTCCTAACATATAAGTATTATAATAGTTTGAATGCTTGGCAGTTCCATATTGTTTTCATACATTCTGTTTAGATTTTTTTTTTATTCGGGAAAAAAATGCAGTGGATATCAGTCATTCTTAAAGGCAGTTGTTTCTTTACTTGTAAAAATAATTGGAGTTTTCTACTTAATTTCAGGTGTAGATTATAAATTAAATTAGACGTAAATACATAAATATTGGATAGATAATGTTAATGAAAGCAAACCGAAAGTCAGGGATGAACCTCAGGAAAAGTGGAATTCGCATATAACCAATCATATTTGGAAATAAATCAAAATAAAACAGAAGTTCAGGTTTAGTTTACCAAAAAAACAGCCAGTTAGTACAGTTCCGGACGAATTTTCAGCCGGCCAAGGATTTACTGTAATTTTTAGTGCTATAAAACTCACAAAGTTCGTATCACTGCTTTGAGTAAGACGGACGCTGCTCGAAGGTTTCAGTTTGCCTTCTCTTTTTCGATGAGCTGAGGGTTTTTTCTTCGATTGTTTCGTATTTCTATATTAATATTTCACATGCCTGTGAAATGTTTGTATTTCTGCAATGGTTCTTCGGTTTACAACCTTCCAGCTTGACGTTCCTCGTTGTCCCCATTTCTGTTTTTTATTTTGAAAAAACCTTTGAATTCTTGACACCGAAAGTGATAGAAATGAAATGAAACACATCAGAAGCGTGAAAGATGAGTGATGAGTCAGTTATTAAGTTGAGTTTACCATAATTTTCACTTGGGAAAATATACTTGAAGACTTATAATTAGACTCAGAATTATAATATAGGTTTAAAAATCGCTTTAAAGGAGGAAACGTCTACAAGATAAATGCCAGGATGCGCATTAATTAATCAGAACTGTCGAAGAGATTTGTATGTAATCGTGTGTACTGTATCTCCAAGAAGGACCTTTGAAAAGTAAGAGATTAAAAGTAATGCTGTTCTAGTTAGCTCATGTGAAGTGCTGGCCTTTGAGGCAATAAAATGACGTCTACAGAAAATATGTAAGTAGATCTAGCTTGGACATGTCTGGATGAATTCTTAGCTTTTAAAAAGCTTTCATCTCCAGAAAACTGTGCAAACGTTAAGCTATACAAGGAGTAAAAGCATTCATACATACATAAAACAGGAAGAAAAAGTTCAGTGTATATTTTGGGTCAGTACTAGTTAATTAAGAAACTTTTTTCCCCTCTAACCTGCAAGGTGCAGTACATATTATACAGATTTAGGAAGGACATCTGAGACGTGTTGCATTTCAGTTCAGTTACTGCATGATCTTTTTATTAGTTCTTTGTGGTTAGGTATGTGCTCATTGGAGACAGGAAGATAGTCTTGGTGATGCTTCTGTTTATGCTGATGGGGGAGCTGTGGTCAAAAGCCACACACAGACTTGGCTCTGTCAGCTCTAAGGTTAAGCAAGACCTATGGTTTCCTTTTTTCGATAAGACAAACCAAATGCTCATCAAAACAGGAAAACACATAACTTAACATGAGATCTATGAACATATGTACAGCTAGTTTTGCTACACCTAAATTGTTGAAGATCATGCTTCATTAATTGAAGCACTATAGTATCTTTTCCATGTAGTAAAGAAGAACGAATAAGTCTGTGAATGGTCCAGTCGCTTAAATCAGGCTGTACAGACAGAAATATTGGAGGTCTTGATGACTTGATGGCATGTAATGTATAGTTTGTGGTAATTAGGGGAAGTTTGGGTACAATATGTGAAGGAAAAGGAGTACTTGTAGAATGGGACCCCATAAGTGTATTTCCTGCCAAACATACACTGCCATTAGCATTACTTATGAAGCATACAGTTGCTGGCCAGAGCCCGGATTCGAGCTGCTGTCACAGGCACAGGCGTGTGAGTGCTTGACCTATGTGATGCTAAAAGGCCATGAGTCTGATTCACGCAGGTTTAACCTTCCAGAAAGCTCTGGGGAGTGGTATCAATCTTAAATGTACATTTATTTTTTTAACACCAAGTCCCATTACATGTTCTGAACCTCAAAACCCTAAGGCAACTTCAGTAGTTGATAAGCAGTAACCCATTTTATCTGAGAGACAACACTGTGATTGGTACCTGAACTCAAAAAGTCATTGTAGGCACTAGACGTTACTACAAAGTACATTAACCAGAAACAATTAATCAAATGACTTTAAGTGACCAAGCAGAGTTAACAATGTACACAGAATTGTAAAACTTTATTCCATGCTGAAAAGAAAAGACACAACGTTTCGGCTGTGAAACCTTCTTCAGATGACTTCTTCCTTTGCAGCCTACACATGCTAATGCAGCTACCTACTTTTACTTCTACAAAGAATTGTGACCACATTTCTTTGAGTCTGAAAGAGTACGTTTTTTGAAAACCCTTGCGTTTTCAACTTGATTCGCTTTTATCTGGTATCCAATTAGTAAGATGTTTTATCAAGTTTTAAGACCTTAACAGTTATACACTGTTAAAACACCTGTGTATGTATAATATGTCTTATTTTGTAAATGAACAAGCAGAAGTTAGAAGTAAATTTCACATTTAATTAAATAACAAGTTAAATGTACACATCATGTTTGTTGATGCTTCAGGGGCACATGTTTATACTGCCCCCCTCTCATACAGTAGTTTGAAAGAGACTGTTACAATGATGTCATTCACAAGCTTCTCCACTGTTTTTTGGTGGAGTGAGCTCATGTTATGCCATGCCATGCCATTGACACTTCTTCATTAATGCTATAAAGAAAAAGTCTATTCAGAGCTTTCCCCAGGGTTCAGTTTTAAGTGCAAAACCACACTCCCATCATATAACCAGTCCTACAGTTGCAGAGCTGAATTTGAAAGAGAAGTACAGGAATTTTCACACCTTGGCTCTAAGGTTACACTCCCTGATGTAGCCATAGGTAATGATGGGCAGATTACATAGACCTTACATTTTTCACTGTTACTAATTTAAGAACAACTGTCCAAAACCGAATTTCGTTCTTTATCGTTTATACAGTGCCCTCCAGAATTATTGGCACCCTTGGTGAAGATGAGCAAAAAAGGCTATGAAAAAATCTTTGTTGTTTATCAGCTTGATCTTACACTAAAAATATTAGAGAAATCGAACCTTTCTGTGAGGTAAAATTATCGAAAGAAAAAATCCTTATAAAAAATAAACATTTTTCTCAAAAACACGTCACAATTATTGGCACCCCTGCATTTAATACTTTGTGCACCCTCCCTTTACAAAGATAACAGCACCGACTCTTCGCTTATAATGCTGGATGAGGTGGGAGAACGCATATAAAGGGATCTGAGACCATTCCTCCATACAAAATCTCTCCAGAGCCTTCAGAGTCCTTGGTCCTTGCTTGTGGACTCTCCTTTTCAGGTCAATCCACAGGTTTCAATGGGATTTAGGTCAGGGGACTGGGATGACCACTACAAAAGCTTGATTCTGTGGTCAGTGAGCCATTTCTGTGTGGATTTGGAGGTATGCTGTGGATCATTGTCCTGCTGGAAGATCCAACCATGACCCAGTCTTAGCCTCCTGGCAGAGGCAGCCTGATTTTGATCTAAAATCTCCTGGTATTTGATGGAGTCCATGATGCCATGTATCCTAACAAGATTCCCAAGGCCTTTGTGTCATGGACGTCCAAAGGGACAAACCGTGGGGAGCAGGAGAGCGGAAAAAGACCCATATGCGTAGCGGCGAGACGGGAAAAAGGCCCGGGCTCATAGTGCAAAGAGTTCAGGAATGCCGTATAGAAACCTATGCCCTCAGGGAGCGGACGTGGGGCGCCCTGGTGCTAGGCGGGTCTCAGGACATCCGAACGTCAATGCTGACCCAGGACAGAGTGCAAGACCCGGAAATATATAGCCAGGGAAAGAGAGGGACAGGAAGGACAGCAGACCGGAAACTAGGGACAGGACAGAGAAGGAGCGCCCTCTGGCTGCAGTGGGCATGACACTTTGAAAGTTAAACAGCCATACAACATCACAGACCCACCATCATTCTTCACAGTGGGGATTTTGTTCCTTTCTGCATGACCTTGACTCTTTTTACATCAAACCCACCTCTGGTGTTTGTTGCCAAAAAGCTCTATTTCTGTCTCATCTGACCTTAGAACCCGGTTCCAATCAAAGTTCCAGTGATGTTTAGCGAACTCCAGGCCTCTTGAACAATGCTCCTCACTGTGTGTGACGCAAAATACACTTGCGTCCTCTTCCAGGCAGGATCATCACAGCTCCAGTTGTTGAAACTTCTTAATTATTGCCTTAATAGGGGAGATGGGTATTTTTAGGTGTGAAGCTATTTTTTTATAGCCTTTGCCTGATTTATGAAGGTCAACAACCTTTTGTCTCATATCATTTGTGTATTCTCTGATCTTCCCCATGTTGATGGATGACTTAGGGTGTTTGGCTTGCGTATCACCTCATATTTATACCCCAGTAAAACAGGAAGGACCACGAGTTCCTAAAGACTCAGGTTTGCTTAAAAAAAGGTCAAATGTGAATGGGAATATATGTCAATTAGATTTTGTTCATAGGAATTTCTAGGGGTGCCAATAATTGTGACACCTGTTT